ATGTTCATATGAGTGAGAGATTTACTGGTCACCTGAACGAGATTTCAAAAGGTATGAAAATAATTAACATATTAATTATTTAAATAATATTTAAATAACCAAATAATTAAATAGTACATAAATAAGCCAAAAAAGTAAATTTTGGTTTCTGAAAGAGAAGTTTTAAATTAAAATTCATAATTTTTTTAAAATTCGAGGTATTAATATTGTGTTCTTAATGGAATGAGACCAGGATAAGAGAGTAAGTTTCAAGCCGTAGTATTGGTGTCTTCACCAACGGCTGAGATAAATTTAGATATTTGCTTTTGCCTGTTGATGTCTTGAGCCGGATGTAGTGATGTGGAGAGCTTCCATCATCATGAGTGGTCCCATTTTGTTTATATGCTTTAACAGTCCCCCACAAATTAACTATATCTATTAATATATATTGACGACATTGAGGCTTTTACCAGATTGCAGGCACTTGTTTTTGTGGACCTCTGAAAGGACACCATCACTACAGAGTGCAGAGGGTATACGATCTGCACCGTTGGATCACCCGCTGTTTGAGCGAGCGATCCTGATCCAGCCGGACGACTGGGTCACGCGACAGATCAAACCACGGGGTCAGAGCAGAGCGCGGAACAACGTGATCCTAACTGTTGATCATAAGATCAACGGTTCGAATCTCTTAATACACACGTAGTGCGTACACCAAACCCTAAATAACGTATTTTGCTTTGTTTGATCGATTGGCTCGATCAAATCATGCGAAAGTTTAAACATCAAACTTAGGAGTGAAGAGCATTCATGGGGTACAACTCTCGCGAAATGCGATGTTCAAGGAGCTATTTAAACCTATGTGTAGTGACCTAGGCTAAGAGTTTTTAAGAGATCTAATCATTGGATTTAGGAAATAATGGATTCTCTGAGCTTGTAGATTGTCCTGATATATTTTCTTAGTTGAACTCGAAGTTCGAAGCATCCTCGATCAGAAGATATGAGCCTTGGACGAATTTGAGGTCAATGATGGCCGGAAGCTCACCAGCGTCGGTTTGGATCAATCCACTTAGGTGGAGAGAGGTGGGGAGAGGTTTGTGGAACTCATCCACGGGTAAATCCCGGGCTTGGAGGCTCTTGGGAGGAAATAAATTGCAAGCCTCCTCTAAAAGAAACCCTAACACCCTTAGATATCCCCCATAGCCTTTTGATGAACGGCTAAGATCATAATAAGGGTTAATTAGGGAGGAGGTAAGATGATTTGGATGTGATTTGAGTTATGGGAGCAAAAGGAAGGGTTTAAATCCCTTTAATGGTTATATTTTAACCAAAATAAGTCAAGTTTGACCACATTGAGCTAGGGTTGACCAAGGAAATGGTTGATCCAATCAATATGGTCAAGTTGAGCCAAGTGGGTGAGGGGTTGGGTCAAAGAAGGTTTGAAATTGATTTCGGCTCAATATTGGCTCAATGGGTCAACCTGGGTTGACCCAAGGTAGGGGTCTAGGCCTAAGGGGTCAAGTCTGACCCACTAAGTCCAATAGAGGTATGGGATTGAGCTTATAAGGGTTGAACTTGATTTGGAATAAAATGAAAGGGGTTCAGGTGAATTTGGGTCAACCAAGTTGACCTCAGGCCTGGATCTGGGCTCAACAGGCTTGGTTGGACCCACTGAACGCAAGGGAGGTGGTCTTGTGGCCTGACTTGGTCAAACTGACCAAGTCAACCCCTTGACCCATGTTTGGGTAGAAACAAGGTTAATAGTTTCATGCCATATGTATCGATCAATGGCTGTGGCAACATCCAACCTGCCTTATGAGGCTAGGATGTCTCATGCAACTTCTCTTTATCTTCCAGTTCCTTACACTGTCTTCCATGCCTTTTTTTGGCGCAGCTAAAGAGAAAGAAATGATACTAGTTAATGGAAATTATGAGGCGGTTCTTTATGCTTTTCTTGATGGTCTACATCAATGATATCATATGAAAAAAATGGGCTCAATCTCATATTTTCTTAGTATTGAAGTTGTGACAATTGATTATGGACTTGTTCCCAGTCTAAAAATGTACTTGACATTTTGCCCAATGCTGGTATAATTGAGTGCAAACCCATTGAAAATCTTATTACTGTTAAGTTATTGCTTTCCATTTTCTGTTAGTACTACAACTTTGCTTTTTGTTGTTTTATCCTTTTGGGTTGCAAAGGTGTATGGTGGCTGCACCTGCCTAGTCTTATATATATCCTGGTTATAAGCCAAGAAGAGGGTAATGAATAATAGAGTTTATTCATGATTGTTCTTTGTTTGGGTTGTATTCGTTTTCTTTCTGCTTCTTCCGCAGCTTCTGCTACATTCTTCTTGCTCATCATTTTCAGATTCCATATTTTATTGGCATCCCATTGGCTCTCTTCAATACCTTACTATTAATCATTTAGATATTTCTTTTGCTAGGTATGTCCACATGTACATCAACCTCTAAATTGTCATTTTCAAGTTCTTAAATGCACGTTAAGATAACTCAAAAGGTACTAATCACTATGTACTCTTCATACAAAAAGAAGAAATGCAGCCTCATGCATTTTCAATTCATATTCGGCAGGTCATGTGGAAGACTACAAATCTACTACCGAATATTAAGCCTATTTTGATCACACTTTTATTTCTTGGTGCATTAAGAAACAATCCACGATTGCTTGCCTTCTACTGAAGTAGCATATCGAGCACTTGCTATGCATGCAACACACTTAATTTGTCTTTGTTTGTTGCTCCATGATTTCTTAATTTATGCGGACAACGCTGCTTCTTCATGTTGTGATAACATTTTAGCTATGATCACGACAAATAATCCGATTTTTATGCCCGAACAAAGGCCTTTGTAATTGATAATCATTTATTTTTGTAAATGCATTCTCTCTAAGATGATTGTAGTTCATCACATCTCTTTCTCCTGACAAATGTGCCGATATTCTAAATTTCTAACCAAAGCTCTTCCTACATGGTGCTTTGTGTGCCTTCGAGATAAGTTGACGGTCATTGAGATGCCCATCAATTTGAGATTATGTGATAATCAAATGGCTTCAGCACTTATGGGTGACTTTACGAACTCAGGTCAATATGGATTGTATTCTCACTTCTTTCCATTTAGTTATAAATTTATCTATCATAAACATTAATTTATTAACAATAATTTTTATTTTTTAATAGTTAAATAATACAAAATATCATGCATTAATCTTGTTGTTGCCATTATTGTCAACCACCACCAGCCATCACTGTATTTTTTAGTTTGCAAGTAAATTAAACTTATAAAAATCTTTTATAAGCAACCAAAATGCTATAAGGCCTCTTGATTATATTATTTCACTTTTTAAAACATTAGTAAATTTTAAATTCATCCAACCAAATGGAGAGTATTCATTATAATTATTCATTGTCACATAACATTTATAGTAAAAATCTATTGTATTTATTTATGTGAGATTTCTCCTTTATTGAGGATATTCTGTTTTATTGTATTTCCCATTATAGTTTTATTCTCTTGCCTTTATATATGCATATTTGTATGAGCACGAGATCAATCAAACAAAAATATTTCTCTTCTTACTTTTGCCTTCACGTAGAATTCTTTTACATCTTTTTTTTCCTTAAATTTCAGGAAACACATAGCGAGGGAAATTATTCGCTAATAAAGTTAGAGTGTAAAACTTGGATGTTTAAGACACCTATGCCAAAATATGGATGCATCAAAAGAGATAAAAAGGATTATTATCAGTGGTAAGCTTGTGGATTGATAGAATATTATGAGATAGATCTAAAACATGAAGAATTTGAGGGAAGAGCAACTTACATGGAGTAGTGGGAAGGAAACCTTGCCTTGTGTTAGTGATAAGCAAAGATTGCCCATTGCAAATGAAGACTTGGTTAGTTATAACCAATTGAGTGAGTTTATTAGAATCAGCTGAGATGTTTTGTAGCCCCTGAATCTAGAACCATAGCTAAGGTGAGTCCTGAGATGCAACGAAAACGCATTTGTGACAATGTGGCATTAGGAGTATTTTGAAGATTAGAATAGTGCCACAACTGAGTACTTGAGCGTCCACATTTTCCACATATCTAACATGTGATATAGGCATTGCGAGCATTGCCTCACTTCAATAGTTGCTAAAATGAGCTTTTACCGCAACAAGATCTCATGACATGAACATCGAATGCCAAACAATTATTTCGAGAAATTGAACGAAATTTAATATGGTAAGATAAGAAGGAGAGATAATAAAGAAAAATGCTATGGTGTTAGAGAGATCAGCCCCACATCGAGCTCGGCGGACTTCATTACGATGGGAATATAGACAAGGACGATCCCAAACATAGCGATGGCAGCGTTCCTCCTCCAGTATTTGGGACGACATTTAGGCCCATCGGTCATTCTCCACTCCTTCAAACTAAAGTCCTCAGCACCGTGTGACTCGCCATGGTCGGGCCAATGGTGATCGCCTCCGACCATATCTGATGAGCTATCCGAAATCCAATCGTATCTAAGATCCCCACACTCTACAAGCACCCTTTCAGCCACCGCAGAAAGAGGAACTTCAAGCTCTCAATAGGGTTTATGTACTGCTAATTTCTCCTGCTTGGGTTAAAAGACTTATTCTTCTAAGAAAAAATAAAATTCTAAGAAAAAATAAAAAATTAAGAAGATTACAAAGCATTCAACAAATATTTTGTGATTTTCTAACTCGTCACTTGTTAAATAAACCAAATGAAAATGTAGAAAATTAATAAAAAAATAAAGGTGCAAAATAATCTTTAAATTTCTATCAGTTTAAAATTAATTAATTAAATGGGCCTAATTTAGCTCGCGGATAATTTTTCGATACATTAGTGACCTTAATCATGCTGTTTAATGGAAGTTTTGTGGCCTGCAAAGGGACTGAGCCCATTAGGCTATATGTGTTTTGGCCCATTGGGTCCACTTCGGCTTCTTCTGCAACCAAGCAGGGGATATTAGCAGGACGGAAACCCTATCAAGGCTTGAAGTTCCTCTTTCGCTGTAAGGTGCTCGGAGAGTGTGGGGATCTCAGATATTGGAAGCGCTTGTCAGATATGGGCGGAGGCGATCACCATGGGCACGGCCATGGCGAGCCGCACGGTGCTGAGGACTTTAGGTTGAAGGTGTGGAGCATGACCGGCGGACCTAATTGCCGTCCCAAGTACTGGAGAAGGAACACTGCCATCGCTATGTTTGGGATCTTCCTTGTCTGTATTCCCATCGCAATGAAGTCCGCCGAGCTCGAGGTGCGCCTTATCTTTCTAACACCATAGCCTCCTTCTTTATTATCTCTACTTCTCATCTTACCCTACCGATCCGGTTAGATTTCTCGAAATAATTGTTTATTTAGCATTTGTTTTTTATGTCTTGAGATCTTATTGGGGGTAAAAGTGCATTCTGGAGAATTTAAGTACCATCACTTTGTTTCCGTTTAGTTTGAGAGCTTAATATTGTAAAAGAATGACTATATGTTTCCGTTTAGTTTGAGAGCTTAATATCGCTATGTTTTACTGTCAAAGCTTCTTACAATTGACACTATCTTTCCTTCCTGGACTGTGGTTTTAAACTTTTTATTTTTCCTTGTTTTTTCCAACCATATGTCCTCACAAATAAGCCCTCAGCTGGGCCTTCTCCTTGCATTTTATTCCTTTAGTCGATAGACAAAGAGTAGACTTTAATGTTTTATCAGAAGTGATGAGTTCGTGTTTCCACTCAATCTATGGATTATTTGAGATGACAAAGATCTTGTGGAGAATGAGGGAGAGAGAAATAATGATCTGTGATGGATAGAGAGGGTCATGAGTTATACATATGTTGGTATGATAGATTCAGAGAAATTTTGATTGTGATAATGAATAAATTTCTGTCAACGTTGGTGTGGAAATTTTTGTTGTTGGCTGCAAATTTTTTTTTCTGCATCAATGTGCCTCTTAGATGGAGAAGAAAGGAAAGAATTTGGAGAAAATACAATGAAGAGGGAGAAATTAGAGAATCACCAATAGGTTTGCAAAAACTAGAGCATGAAGGAGAAGAAATCAAGTGTGTTAAGGCTTTCTTTTTTACTTTTTAGTATCCATATACTTCTTATAATTGTCAATAAACTTGATTCAACTCTTTACATACGTAAGCCGGCTTGTCGAGCAAATGAATTGAGTCACATTCAACTTGTTTATGAGTCAATATTTGCTCCTTATCTCTAGCTCGACTCATGGGCTCAATAACCTTGACTTATGAGTCCATTAAAAAGTCAGCTCGAGCTTGACTCTTGGGCTCAATAAGCTCGTCTCATATGCCCATTAACAAGTTGAGTTCTTGTTAGTTTATAAGTTGACATGGCTCACATACAATCCTATCATCGTGGAAATACTATTTTTGTTGTATTGCAAGGGAGTTGCAATTTGACTTGGCTCACATAAAAATCTATATACGTATATTTAACCATTGAAAATGCAATAAAATCATATTAAATCTTTCAAAATAATCAAATCTATAGCATATCATAAGTTAATGGTGGAACTTTACGAGATCATGAGATAATGCATTTTTTTAAAGATTTAAGAGTGAGAAAATCTGTATAAATCAAAATCATTGAAAACAAGAGTAAGAGATTTCACTTACAATCAATAGAATAAAATTTGTAATAGGAACGATGGACAAATACGACCCAAAGATCTTTCTCTCTCCTTTCTCTTCTTCTCCTCCTCCAATTTCTTCCTGGCCAAGCATTAAATTAGAGAGGTGGTGGGGTGAGGCAAGGATATTTATAATAAAATATATATAAAAATAATGTTAGCGGCCTAACACCTCAATGCTCTACTTTAGAATTTTTATATTTTTCAAATAAATTCATTTCACACTTTTGGGTTATTACAATATCTCCACCTTCAAAAAATATTCATGAAATTTCTATATTAGTCCGAGAGTATGCTCAAAACAAAATTTCAAACTCAAATAAATCGTAAATCACATTAAATTACTGCAAAAAAAATTGTGTCGGAAAACTTAATTTAGAGAAGGATAAAAGAACATAAAATCATACAAGTGGATTCATTTTCTTTTGCTTGAACAGTTATACAAATCTTTAAGATGAAATGCATAAAAAATCATGTTTGCAACTCGTATTCATACATGCAAAATAAAATTCCATTTATATTATGCTCATAAGCTCTAGTTATATTTCAAATCTTTTAATAACCATTGGTCTGATACCATTTTATTATGCCCCTTGATCTATATTGGAAGAATAACATTTGTCTTTCATTTTAGCCATTTAACTAGAGTTTATCAATTTCTTATGAACAACAGAAAGAATTATGCATGTTGTCTGGAGCCTCTTATCATAAGATCCTTATCCTTTTATGAAAACATATAAAATCACGTAATGAGCACATGACCCAACAAGCAACTCAAATCTTACAACTGGAATCAATGCAAGGTAAAATAGAATTTTATGCTGTAAATCATATTTTTTTTTTATGCTGTAAATCATATAAATAAATATATGCATTCAATATCAAAAATTAGTAATTAGTGTCAGTATCAGTAATCAATATCCATATCAGTAATCAATAATCAATATCAACAATTAATATCAATAACACTATCAGTAACAATAGCAATTATAGTATCAATATCAATATTTGACATTAAGATGAGGGTATCTTGAGTTTACGGTTATCATATAAAATCAATTATAATAGTGAATCAATATTCTTGCCCTTATGACTCCCAATTAGTCACCGTGACTCCTCATTAGTCTCAATCAATCTCCAGCTTCTTATAACTCCCAATCAGTGAATCACATGAATCAATAGAGTATCGTGTGGGGTTAGGGGTGTCAATTCAGGTCAACGGGTCGGGTTCGGGTCGAACCCGGAACTGACCCGGCACTATTCGGGTCAACCCGAACCCGACCCATTTTTAAAGACGGGTCAGGTTTCCGGACCCAAACCCGACTCAATTCGGGTCCAGGTCAACCCGACCCGACACGAATGACCCGGGGTTGACCCAAAATTGCTAGTTTTCGGGTCAAAAATAGGGTCAATCTTCGGGTTTTCGGGTCAAATATGAGTTTTCGTGTCACTTTCGGGTCAATTTCGGGTTAATTTCGAGACCCAACCCGATTTTTAAAACGGGTTGATTTGTTGAACCCGAACCCGACCCGTTTCGGGTTTGGGTTGACCCAAACCCGGATTTTTTTGGGTCAGGTTCGGGTCGTGTCAAAAATTGACACCCCTATATGGGGTTATAATATCATATATTTGATATCAATCAATACATCATTTCACAAGTACCAGTAGTACATTCCAGTACATAGCACATATCAGTACATTCCATTTTCAGCATACTTTTTCCACACACATTCATATAAAAATATTAACCAATGAAAATGCAATAAAATTATATCAAATCGTTCAGAATGATCAAATCTATAACATATCAAAAGTGAAACTATGAAAGCTTACGAGATAAGAAGATAATGTATTTTTAGCAGATTTAAGAGATACAAAATACGTAGAAATCAAAATCATTTAAAATAAGAGTAAGAAATTAATCACTTACAATGAATATATCAAAATTCATAACAGGAAAGATGGGTAAATTCGACCCAAAGATTTTTTTTTCTCTCCTTTCTCTTTCTTCAATTCTTCCTGATCAAGCAACCAAGTGAGAGAGGCATTGGGGTGAGGAAAGGATATTTATAATAATATATATATAAAAACAATGTTAGTGATCTAGCACCACAACGCTCTACTTCAGAATTTTCATATTTTTTAAATAAATTCATTTCACACTTTTGGGTTATTTTATGTACCTTTATGTGAAATGCAAATACTTGTTGTCAGTGGCGGAGATAGAAATTTTTCTTCATGGAGGCACAAATCGACTATTTTAAAAATAAGAGTAATGTTTTTCAATAGATATTTATAAGCTTAATCTCTAAAATTTTGGAGGGGGCATAAATTGAATATTTTGTGAAAAATGATATTTATGTAAGAAAAAAAAAATATTTTATATTTAAAGACATTAAAATTTTAGAGGGGGCACATGCCGCGTCGTGGCCTCTCTTAAATCCACATGTGTATGTTGCTTTTAATATAGATTATTTCTGAGTAAAATTTTCATAGATAGGATTCGATCTTTCCCACCTATTATGTGTAATACTTTGGTTTGTTATAATTCAAAAAATCTCACCTCCCAAATTGAGAATAATTGAAATGAGGGTTTATGATCCATCTCCTCGTTTTACTTATCATTGTTGAATTAGGAATCGTTCGCTTTCAAAGTCTTAAGCAACTCCTTGGACGAAGGTGTGTGTATCTTTATTTTTTAAATGTTAAAGTCATTGTTTCCATAGATCATTCCAAATTCGTATTTACTATTGCTGATAGAAGCCTTTGGTACTTGATGATGCCATTTCCTAAGTACATTCGGGCTTTGATACCAGTTTAAATCACCCTCTTTTGTGAGCATCAAAGGGAGAAATACAATCAATCTTGGACAAGAAAATCTTGCACCATACAAATATGATAGAAAATAATAAAGCAACGATAAAACAAGTATGTTAAATTTACATGATTAGAATGACTTAATACCCATGATAAAAACAAACATGTTCCTTCGAGCCTCCTTGATGTGCTGAGAAACTCATACTAGCAAATATGATTTAAAATAATAAAGAAAGCACATAGATAAGCACGCATAATTTACATACTTTGATCAAGAATTACCGTCCGGGTGCAATGATGCACTCATAGTTGTGGAAAAGCATTTGCTTCCTGTGATCCTCCTCAATGTTTTGAGAAACTCGAGTTTTTTTTAGATAAATTATATTTATTTTAACTATATTTTTCCTGATATTATTTTATAATCTATTTATCTCCGATGTTAAGACTTCTTATTGGTGCAAGATCCTATAGTTGATTACTTCTTCCTCTTATAGAGAGCATTCTCAATGCTTATACTCAGTTTTTGACTTAGATTTTATAGCTATGGTTGAATTAAATAATGAGAAGTGGTTTAAGGTCTTATGGACTGATTGATTAGATTTGTTTAATGGGGCTATGCAAATTTTGTGCCAACCTTATTTATTTGGGTGGGAGCATAGATTGGCTTGATGGGCTTTGTTGATTTTCTGCTACCTTGTTGATTGGGGTGAAGCATCCATTAGAAGGTCCCAAAACTTACTATCCAAACTTTAATTGGAGTAATAATACCTACAACTCTTGTACTATCATGTTTGTAAGGTTGCTTTATTTTTAAATTGTCTTTTGGAATATCCTAATATATTGCATACTTTTCAGGGTAAGTTCGAATATATAAAGCATTTGCATGTTTTATGGAACATGACTTGGTTAAATAAAATTCAAATGTATTGCATATAATGGTGATAATTTAGTTTGAAAGATTCCATGATTTATCTAACAAGTTCAATCTCTTATTGTTGGAAATACAATAATGTTGGTTTATTGGTTATGGATTAAGTTAGTATGGGTCACATTAATATCCTTGAACACAAGGACATCCCTCATCCTTTATAATGAGTCTTGAAGATGTTACAACAATCCATGCTCCCAAGTTTTAGAAGCTCTCACTTGCCCTTTTGTGTCTCCTTAAGCCGCTCGATTTTTATTTATGTGTTGAAGAGAAACTCATTGGTTCTCTAGTTCTTCACAAGTACAACTTGGAGAAGCAGCCCACATGGGTCACAATAGGGAGGACAAAGCAACCAAATTTACCAAGTAAAATAGAATAGGAGTGGATTGGGTGTAATGAGTTGAGTCAAGTCGAATATCTGCCTAATTGAGCTAAGATTGTTTAATTCTTATTGAGCACGAGCTTTGTTTACTGAGCTCGAAGTTGGCTTGTTAAAAATTTATTAGGCTTGAGCTTGAGCTCAACTTTTGATATATTTAAAAATACTCGATACATATTTTATTATATTATTCTGAAATTAATTTTGAAATATATTTTAATTTAAATGAGCGACTCAACAATCATATGAGTCGAGACGGGTTGAGCTCGAGCTCGAGTATATGTTCGAGCATGAACTTTTGGCTCGATAAACTTACCTCACGAGCTTGCTAAGGAGTCAAGTTTGAGCCAGTCTATGAGCAAACTCGATTCACTTACACCCCTAGAGTGAAGCTAAATAGGTAATACATGTTGTATACGAGCTCATATATTATATGAGGCAAGCCCATTGAGCCATAAGTTCAAGCTCATATACTCGAGCTTATATATTATACAAGTTCCAGCTCATATATTAAACAAGCAATATATATAAAAAAAAAAAGGAACCTATGGTTAATTGATATAAACTCTGCAATTATGATATTATAGAGAACAACGAAATGATCTTATGATCTTCATTAATCTTGAGAATGCATATGATTGAATTCATGATATTTTTTTTTTTTGTATATTAAATATATGTTGAAGGAATTATATACATGTATAATGATGCATTGATTATTATTAGAATTAGTTGTGGAGTGACAAAAGTACTTATCATTAGAGGATTACATTAAAAACTAATCTTTAGGGTATATCTTTTTGTATTAGCTTTGGAGAGATGCACAAAGGCATTTTGATGCAAGGTATTTTGGTGTACTTTTTGTAGCTGATATAGTTTTAATCAATGAGATCTTTGCCAAGATAAGTGAGAAGTTACAAAATTAGAGGTAGTATTAAGAAGCTAAGGCTCTTATAATTTGCAAAATAAAGACAAATCATATGAGATGTACTTTTAGTGGGTATAAAATTGATAATGATGAGTCAATATTTCTAGACGACTAACTTGTATTTATTTGTGATAGGTCCAAGTATCAGAATTTATTATACAAAAAACATGTACATAGTGGGAATATAACTTATCAATTTGAAATTAGGTAGTTATAATAAAAAGTTGTCTCAAAATTATTGCATGATAAGAGAATATATTGTGGAATTAAGGATAAATTTTTTAAAACTTCAATTTGGTTGTTTATTTGTCTAGATTAAAGTGTTGGATAGTAAAAAGATTATTTATAACCAAATTGAGCATGACAGAAATGATAATGTTTATATGAATTTGTGACAAAGCTTGGAAGAATAGATTTGAAATGACTATATCAAAGGGATGATGAGTACATCTATAGATTGATGATTTGGACATTTATAAAAATGATAGAAAATGAGCCCAACAAGATGTGTATTTATAATCATTTTCATAGGATTAAGAAGAAAGATAGTTATGTGAAGGTAGTATAGATAGAAAGTAGAGTTGATCACAATTTGATTAAATTCCAAATTTATTATGGTTTGAAACCAAACCAAATTGACCGTTATAGGTTAAAATCAATACCTAAATGATCAAAAGTTAAACCAAACTAAATCTAACCATCAGTTAGGCTCGGGTTTTGGTTTCAAGTTAGAAACCAAAAATCCATGCTTTAGATTGGTTTGGTTGGGTTGTAAATTGATATTTTGGATCAGTCTGGTACAGTTAAAAAATTAAAGAAATTTAATAAATTGAAATTTAAGATAAAATATTTGTTTGAATGGCTTACGATTCATCATGTATGACATATATTGGTTCAAATTTTTTAGCTTTCCCAAAATAATCATTAAATAGAGCATATGCCGAACTGAACCAAATCAATTACATCTTTTTAAACAGATTTAAATGTTTTTATTTTCTTTGTCTCCTATGTTTATGGCTGTGGTTGTAGAATTTAATATATTTGAAATACTTAATATGTTTTTAATACACCTTTTAAAGTTGGAGAGGGAGATTAAATAAGTTGGTGCACATAACTTGGAGACGACCTGCAACTTGAACCTTAATACCCTTTAACCCATAAGAAGAGAGGGAGAGTAAGAACTTCATGTGCACAGCTTGAAGCCGATCTTCTCTGCAAGTACTAAGGGTGCTTTAAATTTTGAAGTTTCTAGTTCAGTTCAATTCAAAACCAGTTGCCCCAGGGTGCTATATATGATCTATATTTTAAAAGAAACTATTACAAACTGTGGTTTGAACTACCTTTATTGTATTGAAAATAATTAACAAATTGACATCTATCATAAATGAACTCTTATTTAAGCTTGTATAGCAGTTTCACTGGGCTTTGATGACTGGGCCTTATTGCTGGCTTTTGATGACTGGAACTTCATCCACTGTTTTAAACGTTTGGATGTGAAATTGATAACCTCAAGCTGATTTGACTGCTTTATAAATCAAACTACTACTACATTTTTTTCCCAAATTAGGCTATTAAGATGGGATCCACAGTATTTTTCCTGTTTATTAAACCCTGTAATCTATATCAGAGTTTTGTGATAGGAAATCTTATAGATCTCAAGTATTTCTATCAACAGAGACAAAATCAGCTAACTCTAAAATCTGAGGAAGAAATCACACCAAATAGTAGTTCTATTGCAAGAAAAAAATTAACGGAAAAAAGAATCAAAGCAAGATACAATTGATCCTCAATTCGAGAGGAGGATCATTCTCTCCCAATTCCTAGACGATGAATCTAGAGCCCAAAATACACCAGAGAACTCCAAGAGAATACAATAATCAGTATAACCCTAACCCTAGCATTTCTCTCCCAATCCCAATCCCGCCTGGGCCCCATTGTTTTGGGCGGCAACCATTGACTAGGCGGTATTATTCCGCCTCCTATAGAACCGAACCGGCCCAACAAGAGCCCTGAACCGACTTAACGTTTTGCAGACTGATATTTTTTTATTGTTTTATGCAGCAACGTCCCCATCATCCAGTTCGTCCTATTCCATCACAGCTCTGGTGCAAGAACTTTGGCACGAAAGATTACTGATGCAATTTGAGGTTTATAAAATCTTAAGAATTGATCACTTCTGCAAGTCTAAAAGTGGATAATGTGTTTCTGCTTTTTTATAAGTGAAATAAGGATCGGAACTTTGAACCTTTTCATTTTCTGAGATGTCAGAGCTTTGTTTAAATAGAATTGTTTGTATAAAATACTTTCTTGTGCTTTGCTATCTGGCTATCTGCTATGGTTTCGTGTGAATTAGTGATATTATATTGCTTCATTTTTAAAATGAAAATATTTAATAGAGCATCTGCTTGGATCGTGAAGCTGAATAAGTCTATTTGGTTATGTGAATATCAATAGAGCGATACTTTGCATGAAACTTTCAATTTTGCTTTGCAGCATTATATATATATATATAACAGGTACACAAAAATTTAGATCAAAGTTGTTATATTTATTTGAACTTCTTGTATAGTTGTATGCTATAGTTTTCAGTTATTATTATTTTTTTTATTTAGCTATCTATTAACTTATAATAAGGATAATGGAGAGAGAAAAAATGATTCATAATCAAAGGTACCAACAATTTCAGAAGGGGCAGAAAATAATCATGATGAGCAAAATATTTCATGAAAAGATTGCAAGTTTTGCTGAGAGAATGATATCGATAGAGTTGTAAACTAACTGAGCATTTGACAAGTTATTTGAGGCTCGTATTGATATTAGTTTGTTCGTGATTGTTTAATTAAATAATCAAATAAGCTTAAATATTTTTTAAATATTTGATGCTTTAATAAGTTTGAACATTCACGAATGTTTATGTTTGATATGAGAATTTAATAAATTTAATATAAATATTTTATGTTTACTATAATTATAAAATATAATAATAAGTTATTATAGAACAAGCTTTCTTATGAGAAAGTTAGTTTAGTAGTTAAAAAATATTTGCTAAATGTGTTTTTACAATCTTGCTTGATAGTTCAAAAACTCTTATTAGATGTATTTGTGAATAGGCTCGTTTGGTAGCTCAAAAGTACTTTATATATGTTCACGAACGTACTCGTTTGATAGTTCAAAACTATCACCAGAAATATTTGCATACATATTTTTTCAAGCTATTAAAATTAACATTAATGTTACCTACTGCAACAACAAGAGTTAAAATGTATTTTCTATAATGAATATCATAATAAATCAATTACGAAATAAAATTTAAGATCAATGAAGAAATGATACTTTAGTTGCATATATTAAGAAAAAAATATTAGATTGTATTGATAATTAAGTTATTATTTAACTTTTTTCAAAATATGAAGAGTAAACACTGTAAATTATAAATTTTTTCACCTTATACTTAGTATTTTATCTTTTTAAACAAATAAATTTAGCAAACACAAATTTTAAAACTGCCAATACTGATCCCAAGCTCAAATGAAAAAAATTTAGAGAAAATTAAAAAATAAATAAATAAATGATGCTCCTCGACCCTCGTATAAAAAATTCCTGGCTCCGCCACTCTTAGAAGGCAATAATCAATATCATTATTAATAAGATGATGTTGAGCCATGTATAGCACTAATTGAGATTCGATTGTCCTATCTTACAATCCAATTTGATTCAGCTTTTTTAATTGGATTAAATGGTTTTAGGCAAGCCTGCAAGGGACACATTTTTATTTTTTCGGGACGTTTAGGAGATTCGAGCGCGAGTAAGAGGGAAGAAATTGCTTCCGTCGACCATCTGGCCGCAGTCCCGATCTCAAGGGTTATATACCTTAATTGATACAGGCAATAATCTTTCCAAAAACCATCGAAAATAACCGCTCACATTTGCTACAGTACAGAAAAGGCTATCAGATTACATAGGGCTCCTGATTTGACAATAATACAACATGGTTTCTTCTACATTTACTGTTTCCTATAACGATGTGTTACAAATTTACAGCTTATAACCCAAAAAAATAATTATGCAAAAACCAAAAAAAGACATACATTTTACCTAACAATCAATGTTTCAATCATCAGGTTCTATGCAAAATATGAAGAAATCGAAGAAAAATTATATGTAGATTCTTTAACGATACCTTCTGAAGCTTTCTGGTAAGATTGGAGCGACGGCTACCAGCTTATAACCATTAGTGTTCTACCATATCAATCTTCAACATCATGAACCCACGATAAATCTGGCACAACAAAAAAAATAATAATAAACATAAATACTGGAGATCAATTATCATGGCATTCAATGTTTGTATGCTTGCATTAATGATTAGCTTTCATGATTTGAAAAGACAAGATTAAGATTTCGTTTGAGACGGTTTTCTTACTACTTAAAGTAATTTTTTAGTACAAAAATTAAAATTTTTGTACAATAAAGCAATACTAAAAAGTAATAAGAAAGCTGTCCCAAATCAAACTTAAGGCTTTCGCTTGGAATAGCTTTTTTGTTACTTCTTAAAGTAATTTTTTAGTACAAAAATTAAATTTTTAATACTATAAAGCTGCTTCAAAAAGCAACAAGAAAGTCATCCCAAATGAAGCCTAAGATATCGTGATTTAGGGTTCGCTTGAAATAGCTTTCTTAATACTTTCTAAAACAGTGTTTTAGTTAAAAAAATTTTTGAATTAAATTTTTTTTTTACTAAGAAGCTGTTTTAGAAAGCAATCATAAAGCTATCCCAAACAGAGCCTTATTTTTTGTTAAGAACATGCTTAAATTTATTGATTTTATGTTGGGATGAGTGCAATATAAAGTTATAATTGATTACATATATATTTCACTTGTCTCAAACCAATTAAATAGTCGAATATTCTCAATCAAATACTTTATATAGTTTAAGAGCACCAAAATCATACATTACATAACAAAACAACTGAAAATTATCATTTCTATTAAATGCAAAAGCAGCCCCAGCTGATATCCAATAAACTAATAGTGAAAATCGATTGCACAATCCTTCTTTCTCTCCTGATGGTTCAGGATTGTAAAGTTGGGATCTTCTCTTCTCTCCCTTTTTTCCTCATTTAGAAATTACCCTCTTACAATTATGCCAAGACTAATCTATACCAACCTGGTTAACATTACCAAAAGTTGTAGAGAATATGCCCAGAAACATCTAAAATGTGGCAATTATGTTAAAACTAGAGAATATGGGGATAACTTAACAGGTAGATATTTGGAGGTGTATCTACAAGTATCTCCATAATGTGTTGTCGGTGGGTTGGATAGATCAGGTAAACAAAGAACCTAAAATTCTTCTAAATGCTTCCAAGAACTTGAAACTAGACTCCAACGATTTTTTGTTTTTTTAAAGTGAACCCAACAAAGCCCATAATGCGAAATAACTGTTAGTTGATTAGCTTTTTTAGCTTCACTTCAATTAATTTGGTTTCTATATCAACAAATAAAAAAGCTAAAAGATAGCATTCTTCTATAAAACTCGCTTTGCCGATAAAATAATTCAATTATTTTCCTAACGGACTACTAACATTCAGTCGGTAGAAGATGAAAATATTTTTTAATTATTTTTTACGTTTTATTTACAAACCTTGAAGCACGGATTCGACAGCTGCAATTGGAATTAGAAGCCCCACAATGCGTTGATTATCATCTGTCGTCTCTAAACGAACAACACGAATACGTTTATGGCTTTGACGAGCCTGCAAAGATCAATAATTGTTAGAAGAATGAATTTATATCCGATCCTCTAATAAGTAAAAAACAATATTATATGGAGGACACGCAAATAAAAAGAAAGAAGCATACATAATAGCTTTAAAAGAAAACAGTAATCCTGTCTCAACACTAGAAGCATAATATTTTCAGTAAAGCAAATGCCTAACGAGGCCATGGTGCAAAATTCCATTATAGTCGTATATTCCAAACATTTAGGGGCTCTTTGAGATCACTTTTTTTTTTAATTTAAATTTTTATTTTTAAAAAACATGTTTGACTAGTATTTTTAATAGTCACATAGATGGGGATATTATTAGTAGAATTCAAGTTGGATGGTTGAAGTAGAGGAATGCACCGGAATTGTTGTGTGATAGAAAAGTCCCACTCAAACAAAGGAAAATTCTATGAGATGGTGGTGAGACCTGCAATGTTTTATGGTGTAGAATGTTGGCTATTAAAAGAGAAGCATAATATTAAGTTAACTGTTGCAGAGATGAGAATGCTTAGGTGGATAAGTGGCTTTACTCTTAAAGACATGATACAAAACAAGCATATATGTGAAAAGGTTGGAGTAGCTCCAGTAGAAGATAAGATTAGAGATAGCCGACTTAGATGATTTGGTCATAGAAAACGGAGGCCTTCTGATGACCCGGTTTAAGAGAGTAGATGTATTAGATTTGACTTATATTAAGAAAGGTAGAGGTAGATCTAAAAAGATTTGGTTAAAAAATATTGGAAATGATTTTTTTTTAATTAGATTTAAATGAGAATTTGACACAATGGAGGAAAAGAATTCATACAGTCGACCCCACGTAGTGGGATAAATATTTGATGTTGTTATTGTTTATTTTGTTTTTGAAAACAAATCTTTTTTTTAAAATACTCAAAATAACTTATAGGTGCCTCCAAACTTTTTCCTCTAAAATAAAAATCACCCTTGCCACTGCCAACCTCATAGCTGCCTGCTATCACCACCCTAAGTAATATTTAATAATAATAAAAATAACACTTATTGAATATCAAACATATTTTTAATCCATATTAAATTATAAATAAAACAAAATAAAAATAAAATAAAAACAAAAAGTGATACCAAACTACATCTTAGATCTGATGAAAAACTAATGCACGATCCATATTCAAAATTATATAGGGGTTAAACATACATAGCTTAACAACACAAATATAGAGATTCCAAACATTAAAAAATAACTTTTGAAAAACATGCAAGTTTTATCCCGCTGAAATGCAGCCTATTAAGATTTAAGAGCTGCTTGTGGGTTGAAATGACAATAAAATAATTTTTGATAGAATAATTCAGAATTCTGATAACTTCATTGTTATCATCATTATCACCCTCATCCATACATGCATCATTAGTCTGAAAATGAATGAAATAAGTGTACTACTGAAAATGAATGAAACAAAGAATGAAGTAGGTATGGAGTCATACTTGCTTAGATAGTGCTTTTTCTATGGTGCCCCAAACTGGAAGAATGAGCCCACCTAAAATATTGATTTCTTGTAGCCTTCTTCCAACAGTACAGTAGCTTCCAAGCTTGCATTTGGGGCCATGCATGCACTGAAATATAAACAGATCAATATTAATAAAAAAAATAAA